AATAGCCGAGAAAAATAACAGCATATGTGGCCTGACGATTGCATATAGCATGAAACAGACTGTCGCCTCTAAGTGTTGACTTCTATGTTCACTTTTATATATATATATATATATATATATATATATATATATATATATATATACATATCAAAACTATATATATATATATATATATATATATATACATACTACTAATATTAGCTTATTCTGGCACAACGGTACAAGAGTAAGGCGTCTAGTAAGGCACGAAACAACTAGTATTGTACTAATCAGTGAAACTAAGTGATACCTCACAGCGACGTAACGAAGGTCAGCTGGAGATTGTAAAGCAAACGACAAAATGTGTTAGCGCCTTTTTTTTAAATGTGAGATTTATTGTTTGTCTTCTACTCAATCTCTCATGCGATAATGATAAATATTTATACTTGTCCCCGTTGTGTGAATGATCATGTTTATTCAAACTAGAAGAAAAACGGTATGAGAACTACAAACAAATAAATTGAGAACGGTTGTGCGAGAGTGTGTCTTTGAAACAGGGACAAGGTCGACGACCTACGACGTGAATTGATCATTTTTTTTGGGGGGGGGGAGGCTGCGGCAGGAATTTAGGTCAGTCGGGAATGAGACGTGAATTTTATTTGGAACTGTCAGATGCATAACTATAATGGTTTTCTTGATTGTCTGCCAAAACAAAGATTCTTTATTGAGCTACCAAACACTACTCGTCGTATTATATTTTAACGACTCCTTAAATATTCTTATTCTTATTTTTATCTTAATTTTATCTCCAAGACAGACGTTCCCATCTATTACACAGTATTTCATCATTTTTGACGAAACCTTTGTTTAATTCAGAGCATCGTTATTTACTCATCAAGGTATTTTTGGCCACTTATGATTTTCCACAACTTTTTTTCAGGTAATTTGTATATATATATATATATATATATATATATATATATATATATATATATAATTCCTGGTATTATGTACATTATTTGGACTATTGTCCTCATCTTTCTCGCCATATTTGTTACAAGATTTCGGCCGTTGTACACTCCAGCCTCCTTCAGGTGATTGTGCGATGTGTCCCTTATGAGCCCTACTAATTTGAACTGTTAAAAGCCACAAGACTTTTTGGGATTGATAGTGAGAGTGGGTTCCCGTTGCCTTCTCCACGGTGATTTTATTGAGACACCGCAACGAGTTAGTTGGCCACTGAATCGTCCGTTTCTACGAAATGTAAACTATATGAACCGTGATACTTTTATTTAATGAACTTTTGTTTCAAAAATGAAAAATTTTGCACAATCTATATTTCTGAGATGAAGTATTATGTACATTATTTTTCGGCCCTTCAGTATCTGTCTATATTTCTGAGATGAGGTATTATTTAAACTATTTACATTATTCGGTCTATTGTCCTCATCTTTGTCACCATATATATTACAACGTTTCAGCTTTTATACGCTCCGGTCTTCTTCAGGTGGTTGGAATATCAAACTGAACCCTTTATTTCGCTCAAGGATACCATAGCACAGTGGATAGGGCGTTAGTTATATCCAGTGACAGGACCCAAAGAGTGCGAGTTCAACTGACATCCATTAAAACATGTCACGTGGAACTAGAACAGTCTACCTCAGTGAGTAAATAAAGGGTTCAGTTCGACATTCCAACCACCTGAAGAAGGCCGGAGCGTACAACGGCAGAAACGTTGTAATAAATATAGCGACAAAGATGAGGACAATAGTCAGAATAATATAAATAATTCCTGGATTGTTTTCAAGGATGGTGAGAATAGCATGGACCGAACTTGTGAGCAATACAATTTTATTTAGAGACGATTGAAAAAAAAGAGACTCATACAGGTCACTCAGTACAAGGCTCGTGGTTCATATAGTTTATATTTCCTACGAATCACCTATCAAAGAGCAGGGGAACTCTTGGACAGTCAACGGCCTGTTAACTCGTGGTGGTGTCTCAATAAAATCACCGTGGAGAAGTAAACACGAAACCATTCCACTATTAATCCCAAGAAAATTCATGGCATTTAACAATCAGTTGAACTTTCTAGGGCATATAATGAGGGAATATGGTTGGAACATTTAACTATCACGAGACAGATCGAAGGCAACAGGAACAGAGGGAAAATATATAACCTACCTGATTTTATGAAGAGCTAAAAATTGTGGCGAACCATGATCGCCAACGTCCTGAAGGACTGTCATTTTTGACAGCATGGGTAAACTAATTAGAATTTGTCCACTTGGCTCTCTTAAGATGAGCTCCATATTAGTGAGACTTGTATGTTTCAAAGAAGAAAAAAATCCCATTTACTGAATATTAGAATGCATGGGAAGACACCCTTAGATTCAATTTAGGCACGTTGTTTTCGTGTTTACGGCCAACAACTAAAAGAATGACCAGCTAAAAGAACCAAAAGAATTTTTTTAAGCATTTCACCCCATGCAAGGGGTGTGTGTGCAAGTGGTTACAGAGAGTGAGAGCAAGAGTAAAGAGCACATAGAAGTCGAAGACTCTTGGTTACTCTTTTGAGTTTAGGAGGACTACAGAGGACGGGAAATTGTGGAGAGCCATGATTGTATACGTCTTGAAGGCACACGACATATAGAAGACGAATAGTTTTTACGCTAATTCTTCTGTAAAATGTAGATTACATTAAAAAATAACGATTCCAATTTTTTTCAATTTTTGGAAACTTTTGGTATGGTTGATCCAACAAAGAACTTTCCATCAAGCCCGACAAGCAATAGTTTTAAGGTACCAACATGTTTTTTTGTGTACCAACATGTTTTTCATTTCTTATACTAAAGTTCATTCCGTATATACTTGAGAGCCACTCCAGCTAGAGAGATACTATTAAAACGGTTATGATGAATGAGGTATGTAATATGACGTAAGAGAGGGAAGCGGCAAGTGAGGTTTATGGTTACCCCTTGACTACCAGACGTTAAGCTTGTAGTATTTAGAGACGCACCAACGCAGGTCTCCGTTCTAGAAATAACAAAATTAAGATTGTAGTATTTATAGTATTAACAATAATAATTTTATAGTGTTAATAATAATAATTAATTATAGTATTAATTGTTAATATTAAAGCATTTAGGGAAGCGTCAACGCAGGTGTCTGTTCTCGAAATTGTTAGTTCTTGGGAAGAAAAGGTGTCTGAAAATTTATCATTGGATTTAGAATACAGAGGACATAGAAGTAGTCTCATAGCAGTAAACCAAAGAACAGGAAGCTCATCTGAACATATGCCCGTCCTGGGTATGACGATAAACTACATCCGGTAGCAAGATCTCTTACAGGTTTTGAGGAGAGTAGAATCATAACTTAATTACTATTGCTCCCAAGTCCGCTCTGACCAGGGGTGGTAGCACCTGTTATGGTCCAAGTTTTCTTTTTCATTTTTTTAAAAACTTTTTCTTAATCTAATGCGCAAGCGCGGGATAAATATTAGCAGGCTTGCTCGGTTATTGGCTTGAAGGCCGTTCATCCTTGCATTGGATATTGCTGCTATATCTGGTCTGATTTTACCGCTATATAACTCGAGATTCTTGATAAAATCCAAAGAAGGGTCTATAATATAATCGATCCTGACCTGGCATCTTGACTTCGGTCACTTTCTCACCAACGTAAGGCCGCTTTCCTCTGTCTTTTCTATAAATATTTTCATCTCAATAGTTCTTTCCTCCCTTTTGTCTCGAATGCATGAATTTAAACGTTCTACTAGATTGGCAATTAGGTCTCACTGTTTTACTTTTGGACTAGCTAGATGCAATCATCAGTTTCTATTCTTATGGTTTCTTTTCTCGCCTGTGGAACTTCCTTCTGATTTCCTGCTTCCATGCCACCTACAATCTTCAAATATTTAAATTCAACACCAATTGCCATCTGTTTTCCTGTAGTCTGTTTTTTTATTGTCCATTTTCCTCATTAAAGTCTTCTCATTTTCTTTCACTCGCAGTAACCTCTGGCAGTCTAGTAATATTATTGCCTTGATCGGGATGAAATAACACGCAAAAAAGGATTTTTTCTTCGTATTGAGATTTTATTAAAAGAAAAATTTGTCTTTGGAATATTTGGTTCCAGGCCTTCTTTCGGGAGCTGAGACGATGTAATTTTTTACCGGGTTTTCCAGAAAACTTTCCAACTCTAGCAATCTCACCTTTGCTGGTTATATTCTGAAGAAAAAAATAAAAGATTTTTGAAAAAAAAACTTTCAACCGATTCATAGAAAATGAAATTAAAAAAGAAATGAGTTTAGTCATTTCATCACGCGTCGGAGTTTATTTAATCTAAAATTAGAGCGCTGATTGATAAAGGAGTCTAGCGAGAAATAAATATATTTTTAAGTTAACACCGACAAATGCTTCTCACCTCAAATCCTGATTGCTTTCGTGTTTGTTTTTTCTTGTTGCAAAGTTGAATTGGAATACGGAAAATTGGTTAGAGATTCTTAAATTTGAAACGATATTGTTTGGAATTCTCTGATCTTGACCAATTGAAGGAAAATAGGACGAGAGATGTTTGTAAACTGGAATGCAAAGAAATGAAGGTTGAAAAACGTAAAAGCTAAAGTAGAGATAAAGAAAGAAAGAAAGAAAAAAGAAAAAAGAAAGAAAGAAAAAAGAAAGAAAAAGAAAGAAAAAAGAATGTAAAAACAAAAACAAAATGGTACCAAAGAAAGAAAAAATACAAAAGAAGAGATGTGAAAAAGAAAAGAAATAAAGACAGACAAAGAAATAAAAATAGCGAGAAAGAAAAAAAGAAACGGTGAGAAAGAAAAGGTGTGGAAAAAGAAAGAAAGAATAAGAAAACAAAGAAAGTAAGAAAGAAAGAAAATGCCGAGAAAGAAAAAAGGAAATGGCGAAAAAGAAAGAAAGAAAGAAAGAAAGAAAGAAAGAAAGAAAAATGGCGAGAAGGAAAAAAGAAAAGATGTGAAAAAAGAAAGACAGAATGAGAAAAGAAAGGAAAGGTTAGGAGAAAAAGAAAGAAAGAAAGAAAGAAAGAAAGAAAGAAAGAAAGAAAGAAAGAAAGAAAGAATGAAAATTGCGAGAAAGAAAGAAAATGGCGAGAAAGAAAAAAGAAAATGTGTTAAGAAAGAAAGAAAGAAAGAAAGAAAGAAAGAAAGAAAGAAAGAAAGACAGAAAGAAAGAAAAAGAAAGAGAAAAGAAAGAAAAAGTTTGGAGAAAGAAAGAAAAAAGAAAGAAAAAGAAAGAGAAAAGAAATAGAAAAGAGAGAAAAAATTTGGAGAAAGAATGAGAAAGGAAGGAAAGGTTAGGAGAAAGAAAGAAAGAAAGAAAGAAAGAAAGAATGAAAATTGCGAGAAAGAAAGAAAATGGCGAGAAAGAAAAAAGAAAATGTGTTAAGAAAGAAAGAAAGAAAGAAAGAAAGAAAGAAAGAAAGAAAGAAAGAAAAAGAAAGAGAAAAGAAAGAAAAAGTTTGGAGAAAGAAAGAAAAAAAGAAAGAAAAAGAAAGAGAAAAGAAAGAGAAAAGAGAGAAAAAATTTGGAGAAAGAATGAGAAAAGAAAGAAAAAGTTTGGAGAAAGAAAGAAAAAAAGAAAGAAAGAAAGAAAAAGAAAGAGAAAAGAAAGAAAAAATTTGGAGAAAGAATGAGAAAAGAAAGAAAATGTGTTCTAGAAGTTTCAGCTGAATCTTTCTGATGTTAAGTACAAATGTTCGTTTTCTTTCCATTTTCTCTAAAACTTCGTCGTTGATCATGTATTCGGTTCATAGTATTCTCAGTATCCTTCTGTAGAACCACGTTTCTATCGCTTTAAGTTTTTTTTGTCACCTTCTGTGTGTAGATGATCCAGAATTCACTGCCATACAAGAGGACTGATATTATATAACATTTCAATATTCTTTTCTTTGTTTCGACAGATTTTTTTCTGTTTTCTTCATATCTTTTGGAAGCCATCTTTCTTCATCCCAGTGCGTCTTCGGATTTCGGTGTCACACCTTCCATCCTCTTTTAAAACACTTCCTAGATATTTAAATTTTCGCACGTGCTTAATTTGGGCATCAAAAATTTGTAAGTTGCATGTAGGTCTGTTCCTTTTGCTGACAACCATGCCCTCTGTTTTCTTACAATTAGTGTTTAGTCCTTTCTTCTTGCTTTTCTTCGCTATCTTCTGAGGGCTTATGGTCGGTTTCTTTCTGTGTCTGCTATCACCCTATGTCATCTTGTGCTGTTAAGATGGTAGCCGCCAATACTAAATCCTGGTAGTTCTCTCAGAAAAATAGCAGTGCTGTATAGGTTGAATCTTTATATTTTTGCACTTTTTAATTTTCATTTTTTTTATTTTTTTTATTTTTTTTTTTAATAGGTTTTGCCGATGAACCGGCGCCGTCGTAAATAAGTCTTCTTTATATACGGGAATTTTTTGTTTCTAACGACAAAAATTGCAGTTACATGAAACTTGAAGTCACGGAAATTAGAAAACAAGAAAACTGATATATATATACGATTTTGCAGTTCACGGAAAACATTTGACAACTGATTTACAGTAATGCCTTGAAATCACATTAGTTATTTTAGCTATACTTAAAACTAGGTACATTAAACTTTATAACATTTTTTACAGATTATTTCTATCGCAAATACAAATAAAGTTATAAAGTGTATACGAACTTTATGGATTCCCCATATGTATATATATATATATATATATATATATATATATATAGAGAGAGAGAGAGAGAGAGAGAGAGAGACAGAGAGAGAGAGAGAGATAGAGAGAGAGTTTTAAGGCGTGCTATATTTATGGGATAAATTAATCAATATCAGAGATAATACGTATGTAAATATATGTGAACATTGTTGTACTTGTTTGTTTCCCGATTTGTAATTTGCATGTTGGGTTGTCCCTTTTGCTAACAACCATGGATTCTATCTTTTTGCAATTGACGGTTAGTCCTTCTCGCTTTCCTTCATTACTTGATGAAAGGTTCACTTAATTCCGGACAATTGACAATGACAGAATTTTAATGCATTTTTCTTGTAAAATAAAGAGCAATGATTTATATCACATATATAAATGCCCTATTCAATTAATTATATTTGTTTTAATTCCTGACCCTTGATAATCCCTTTCCACCGTATTTTCAGTGAAGACCTTGCGGACTGCTATCAGAAATATACCGTTTATCAATTTTTAGTTTGCTTTCTGTGTCTGTTGTCCACATTTTGTCCACATTTTGCCAGTTGAATATTTTATGCTGTTCAGATTGTGGTCGCCATTAATGAATCCAGGTAAAACGTGTAACGGTTGAATATGTCTGGTGAGAAGATACATCATTGTCTTAAACCACTTTCAATTTTTGTATATTTATTGAATTTACTGGTATTGGTTTGGTTTGATTTGGTTTGTTTTACTGCATATCAACCTCAATGGGTTATTTAATGCCGACAAGATTTTTTTTTTATTGCTGGTAATATTATCTGTCTATCGCAGTATATATTGGTTTGGTTTGTTTTACTGCACATCAGCCTCAATGGGTTATTTAATGCCGACAAGATTTTTTTTATTGCTGGTAATATTATCTATCTATCTCAGTATACAGTAGCGTCCAAAACTAAGGGACAAAATTTTAAAACTTAATATTTGTTAGAAATAACAACTGTGAAAAGCTGAAATTTTGACAACTGGTAGTCGTTATCATCCATAATAACATACTAAAATTTGAATCATTTGCAAAGGATAGAAAAAGAATTATAACAATTATTTATTTGTTTTCAAAATAGGATCGTCCAAAAGTAAGGGACAAAATTGAGAAAAACAATGTAAACGGCAAAAAAACAATAAAAGTACATGTACAATCAATATTTAGTAAATGAGCCCTTGCTCTCAATGACAGCTGCACATCTTCGACTACAAGAACGAATCAGTTCTTGACAATCCTCGATACTAATTTTAGACCATTCTTCTTGAAGCTTCACCCACAAATCCTCCGTGTTAGTGGGATTTCTTTCCATAACTTTCACTCCTAAGGTCTTCCAAAGATTTTCTATTGGATTTTAGTCAGGACTTTGCGGTGGCCAAGCCATAATTTCCAAATCTTGCTCGCTAAGGTAACTCATTACCACCTTTGCCTTGTGACATGGGGCATTATCTTGCATAAAGGTAGCCCCATCGAAACCTGAATTCTGTATGATTGGCACAACATGATCTTGAACAATGTTTTTTTATAGATCTGCGCGTTTACACGAGTTTGTAATCGGACAAGAGGCGTTGTACCTTGGCTAGAAAAACATTCCAAATACCATGACGCTTCCGCCCCCAAACTTGACAGTTTTCTTAGTACACTTTGCACTTAATCTTTCACCAATACGTCTCTTTACATTGTTTTTTTCCATCATTTCCAAATAAATTAAACTTGCTTTCATCACTGAAAAATACTTTTGCCCAATTTTCATATGTCCAAATTACATACCTGTTTGCCAACTCTAATCTCTTCTTATTCTTCGAACTAACAAGTGGTTTCTTCCCTGGGGTTCGATTAAACAGCCCTATTTCTTGCAGTCGTCTACAAACAGTCTGTCTTGACACATTAACACATGAGGTACTATTCATAACCCTTTTAATTTCTGTTTCGGTCCCTTAATGACATACGCTGCATTATTCGATCTTCTCTTGCCGAAGTTTTGCGGGGTCTGCCGGTTTTAAAAGCACTAACTATTTTGCCAGTATCATTGTAGGATTTAACAACCCTGCCTACAACACTCTTGGAACGTTTCACTTTCTCTGAAATCTCTCTAATGGTGTGCTTTTCCTTGTGTAGCTTCACAATAGCTTGTCTCACAGAGTAATCAAGTTTTTGGCGTTTCGCCATGGTGCCGGCTGATGCAACGTTTACAAATGACTAAGTAAGACTTATTCTTTAGAGGAAATCAAAAAATTTGAATATAGCATACTGTTTACATTGTTTTTCTCAATTTTGTCCCTTACTTTTGGACGATCCTATTTTGAAAATAAATAAATAATTGTTATAATTCTTTTTCTACCCTTTGCAAATGATTCAAATTTTAGTATGTTATTATGGATGATAACGACTACCAGTTGTCAAAATTTCAGCTTTTCACAGTTGTTATTTCTAACAAATATTAGGTTTTAAAAATTTTGTCTCTTAGTTTTGGACGCTACTGTATATTGGTTTGGTTTGTTTTACTGCATATCAACCTCAATGGGTTATTTTATGCTGACAAAATTATTATTGCTGGTAATATTTTTTCCAAAAATCTATTGCTGGTAATATATTTTTTATTCAAAATCTATTGCTGGCAATATATTTTTTCTTAAAAAATCTATTGCTGGTAATATTTTTTCAAAAATGTTTAGCTTGTGATATTTTTTTCCAAAACTGTATTGCTAATAATATTTTTTTCTTCAAAAATTTTTGCTGGTAATATTTTTTTCAAAAATATTTACTGGTAATATTTTTTCCAAAACCGTATTGCTGGTAATAATTTTTCCAAAAATGTATTGCTGGTAATAATGTATTGCTGGTAATAATTTTTTCTTCAAAATTTATTGCTGGTAATAATTTTTTTACAAAAAAAAGTATTTCTGGAATTAAAATTCTATTTTTATACTTTCATAATGTTTTCACCCCAGTTTTTTTTTTTTGGCGGGGGGGGGTAACTATTTGCATATGGCTGGTAGCCTAACAGGTGCTACCATACCAGCTCAGGGAACACCGAGTAAGAGATGTTCCACGTTCCTCAAAACCTCCTCATCGGAGGCCTTTCAATGTTGGACGTAATTTATCGACCTACCCTGGACGTGGATGCAGTTTATCATCATAACCAGGACGCAGATGCAGTTTATCGTCTTACTCAGGACGCGGAGTCTACCAAATCAAATTATTCTTACAGAAAATTAAAAAAAAAGTAAGGTGCAAAAAATATTAACCGTTTGAACCCTGCGTTCCTGAACAGTTTTAATCCTTCTGCCAAATAACTGATATGTTTCATGGTAGGTATATAAAAATAGTTACAAGTGTTTACCAGCCGTTCAACCGGTGGCTGAGCATTAAGTCATCTTTCTCTACTCCTGTTACACCGGTGGCTGGACATTACGAAATTTTTCTCTACTTCTGGTAAAGTGGTGTCTGGAAATTACGTCATTTTTCACTATCACTGATAAAGCGGTGCCTGGACATTACGTCAGTTTTCTTTACCACTGGTAAGGCGGTGTCTGAAAATTACGTCATTTTTCTCTACCGCTGGTAAAGGGGTGTCTGAATATTACGTAAATTTTCTCTACTGCTGGTAAAGCGGTGTCTGGATATTACGTCATTTTTCTCTATCACTGGTAATGTTTTGACTGGACATTACGTCATTTTTCTCTACCACTGGTAAAGCGGCGTCTGGATATTACGTAATTTTTCTCTACCGCTGGTAAAGCGGTGTCTCGACATTACGTCATTTTTCTCTACCACTGGTAAAGCAGTGTCTGGACATTACGTAATTTTTCTCTATCACCGGTAAAGTTGTGCCTTGACATTACGTCATTTTTCTCTACCACTGGTAAAGAGGCGTCTGGATATTAAGTCATTTTTCTCTACCGCTGGTAAAGCGGTGTCTGAACATGACGTAATTTTTCTCTACAGCTGGTAAAGCGGTGTCTGAACATTACGTCATTGTTTCTACCACTGGTAAAGCTGTGTCTGGACATTGCGTCATTTTTCTCTACCACTGGTAAAGTTGTGCCGGGACATTACGTCATTTTTCTCTACCACTGGTCAAGCGGCGTCTGGATATTACGTCACTTTCCTCTACAACTGGTAAAGCGGTTTCTGAACATTACGTAATTTTTCTCTATCACTGGTAAAGCGGTGTCTGGATGTGACGTCAATTTTGTCTATCACTGGTAGAGTAGTGTCTGAACATTACGGCATTTTTCTCTATCACTGGTAAAGCGGTGGTCACGGTTCAAAGGGTTAATCCCGCTAAATATCAGTTTCTGTACATAGTGATTTATTAAGCGAATCTTAAATGTGGCTCAAGACCGACATTATGGAGCACTCAGTCGGGATCTCATTCACTAAACAGTGGTAACTGATTATACAGACTCGGAGCATTTAAATAAATTCCGTGTATAATAACTGTAATAGGAATAGCTTTGTGAGGACAGGAGATGTGTTGCATGTATAATAATGATGTTAACTTGACACCTAAAAGAAACTACGCCATCTTGAACGGTGTGACCGAATTTCTTGATTCGTATTCACATGACCTTTGATTGTCAGTTTCTCATTGTTTTCTTGTCGGCAGATAAATAATTCTTTAGCATCTACAAATGATGAGTGTCAATCAGCCATTTTCACATTCCAACTGTCTTCTTGTGGCTTACTCTTCAATAAAAAGGTACATATCATTTACTTATGTATATTTTCTTTGTATCTATCTATCTATCTATCTATCTATCTATCTATCTATCTATCTATCTATCTCAATCTGTTTATATCTATGTTTATAATTCACGATAGATAGAAAAAGAGCCTGAGATAGATAGATAGATAGATAGATAGATAGATAGATAGATAGATACCAATATATCGACATAGATAGATAGATGTTCAAGTGTGTTCATATATATCAGTTTGTTCATATCTATCTATCTATCTAACTATCTATTCAAGTCTTCATATCTATCTATCTATCTATTCAAGTTTTCATACCTATCTATTGCAGTCTGCTCATATCTATCTATCTATCTATTCCAGTTTTTTCATATCTATCTAGCTATCTATCTATTCCAGTCCTTTTTTCCTGAAATTTTCCAGGATCGTTTTATTTCTTAGCAGTTGATATTTGCGACCATATGGCCCTCTTCGACATCACTTCTGTTCCAGTGGAAGAATGTTGATTTCATCGGAAAAAAGAGCAAGTACAGTTTGTCAGGACAGACGCGATCAATTCATATTTGGTGGGCAGACATGTTATTGGTCTATAATTATTGTGAATCGTCTATTTCACCAGTTTTTCCTGGGAGATATGTAATACCTTCAGTGATCCGTGCTGTAAATTTGTTGGAGTTATTAATTGGCATTTTATGGATTAATTACAGATGATAGAGACATTTCCTGAGGATTTCCATTTTAGGGATTTTGTTAGACCTAGCCTAACATTATTCTTGGTTATTTTTTTCCATTCTTGCGCAGGTATAACCATCATCCTTTCTTGTTCTCGTTTGGTCCTCTCTGCATTGGAATTATATTCCTTTGGGTTGCTCCAAATATCCTCCCAAAGGTTTTGCTCTTCTTCAATAGATGGTGCTTTTTTGACTTCTATAACTGCTTTTCCAGTTTCTCTGTAAAATTTCTTGAGGTCCGTTTGGAATATCTTATTTTGTCGATAGAACTTACAATGTTTTTCATATCGTCTTTTTGGCGGGAATTTTTTCAAAATGGCGGAATGGGTTGAGGCTGGTCGTCACTAACTATTTTATACCTAGCTAATCCGATTCACTCACTCCGCCATATACCAAAATACCGCATACAGCCATGACATGAAAATTCGTGTATATAAAATTATATATAAAAGTTTATCGATGTTAAGCAATGCGTCTGTGTGGGGAGGGAGGAGACCCCGAAATCAAACTAAAATATGACAAAATACACAAACTAAAAATAATTAATGTTAGTAGAACCTGTCCAAAACTCAACGAGCTTTGTGTTTTGTCTACAGACAAAATCAAGAGGCTCTTTCGCTAAGGGAGAGGGAAAAATAAAATAGATACGGATATGGGGAAAGAAAAAACTGACCCAGTCAAGATGAAAAAAGGGGGGTGCCGAAAAACAAACTGGGGAGGTTGGGAATCTTGAGTATGATCATAACCAAAGAAGAAGACAGGAACAGGCCAGGAAAAACACTTACACATATTAACCAGGCACACAAGAAGGCTCTGTCCTAACCAGCGAGAGGGCTCCACAGCAAGCCGACCCGATGTGTCTTAGGGAGACTTAAAAAGGAAAATTGACGTGAACCAGGCTCACCGCAGTTACTCACCTTTTGTTAAAATCTGTCGACACCAAACGCTTTCTATCTGATCTGATCTTCAACCTGATCGTCTTGTTCTCTTTGCCTTTAATTTCAGTTTCTGTTTAAGCATTTTCTTGATTGATGAAATTTCATTTGATGCTTGAATTTTATATTTCTGCTTGATCTTCATAATTTTCTGTATTGAGACATTTGAACTTCTTGAAATCTCATCTCATATCGATAAATCTTATCTGATTTGCTTAATTTCTTGCTTTAATTTTGCCTTCAAAATGGCATCTTCTTGTCTGTTGTATGATATTTTATTTGTTTTCGTATTAAGTTTTTTTAGTAGCAGCCGAACCTGTTACATATACAACATTATTTACTTAAGTGCTGTTTTCTAGTAGCCTGTCAGTTAAAAACGTTTGCAATGCAGCGTTATATGCTTGTGCAATATGTTTATTGGACTTTGTCATATGAATTTTTGGAAGCCGGTCTCTTTCAAATATTTCTCCACGAGTTACTTTGCTGATTATTTGAACGATGTTGTTTTCCCTTCCATCATTTCATCTTTGCTGTTTTCAAGGAATTCTGTTATAATGTCGTATGATTCATCTTCATCAGTGACAAAATCTGAATCAGTGCAATTGTTTGTATCGCAGCTTGATTCTTCCTTTTTATTTCCTGAGAGATCCTTATTTCGTATCTCATTTATTTTAGTTTGTATCTCATCCTCTGTCATATTATCTGTTTCCACTCTTGTCTCGTTTTTGTTTGGATTATACCTGATCATACTTTGTCCAATATATAGTTTTATCGTATCTATTTCTGTATTTGAGAGTCTTTTATTTCGCATGATATCCCTGCTGACTTTGTCAAGCATATATGCGTCGAGAAAGTGCCATATTTTACGTGCTACCATATCTCTCTATATTTGGTATGTCTTTTTTTCCGTGATTGTCTTTTGTTATTATTTTATTTCCTTTCATTTCTGGTGTGTACACATTTCTTTCCGGGTCCCGCCCATAGACCAACGTTCAGAAATGGCGCCATGACATTTTCCACTGACGATTTAAAAAAAAAAGAACAACGCATATTTGTAAGATTTGGGCTGTACTCGTGGGAACAATTTTTTGTATATCTTTAAGGCATGGGCTTCCAGGAATCCCTTCAATGAGTCTATTGGAATATTTTTAACTCAATCCGAGGGCTCCAACTACAACAGAGATTATTAATGTTCTCATGCGCCATATTTTGAGATTTCGATTTCAAGGTCCTTCTCTTTTGATAGCTTTTTGAAGATTTGCAAGGACTGCCATATCAATAAGGAGGTAATTTTTTGTTTGTGGTCTCTAATAATGATGTCTGGGTGATTAACTTTGATTCTTCTCTCTGTGTATTGTGTAGTCCCCAAAAATTGTTAAAGATCCACGTCTTCTCCCTAAACTACTATCATCTCCAACCCTCCCACTAAACTCTTATTATCTAAAAATATTTTCTGAATTTAAATCACCTTCACAGCGTTGATAAGACGTAATAAACGAATCAATCAATCCACTTCTTCTTCTTCTTCTTCTTCTTATTATTATTATTATTATTATTATTATAATTTTATTTCCTTTAATTTCTGATGTGTACTCATTTCTTTCCAGGTCCCGCCCATGTGCCTAAGTTTAGAAATGGCATCATGGCATTTTCCACTGTAAAAAATTATACAGACAAAGCCCTTCGTAAAGTGTGGACTGTCTTTGCCAGAACAATAATTTGTATTTCTTTAAGGCATAGGATACCAGGAATCCTTCATTGAGTCTATTGGAATCTTTTCCAATCAATGATGTTCCCATGTGCCACATTATTCAGATTTCGATTTCAAGGTCCTTGTATTTTGATAGTTTTTTGAAGATCTTCAAAGATACACTGCAGTCTGCACGGACGGCGATATCAATAAGGAGGTTTTTTTGTTTGTTTGTCGTCTTTAATAACAATGTCTGGGTGGTTGGCTTGAGATTGTTCTGTCTGTGTGTATTGCTTAGTCCCACAAAATTGTTAAAGATCCGTAACCGAGTCTGGTTGGTGTTCATACAAATTTCTTTCAGTTTCCTTTCCGTAGAAGTTGCATATTTTCCAGTGCAGATATTGGCCGACACTGTCATGCCGGGTTTTATGTTCAGTGGGCGCCAATACCTTGCAACCTGATACAAGATGATCAATTGTTTCTGGATATTCATCAGAGATTATTATTATTATTATTATTAATTGTTTTTCCATAAAAATGTTTCAGAACCCATTTTTTGGAAGTCCGTATTTTTGCACTGAATCCACCAGCTTTCAATGATTTAACGAGAAGATGGATGATGGCATGGAGAAGCGAATCAATTAATAGAGGCGAAAATTCCTTGCTTACGGCACGGTTCTGCAGAACTTATTTAATTTCTCGTGAAAGAATTATAAATGCTTTGGTTACTTATTCCATATTTAAACATTTCGCAGTTTGGTTAATTAACATTTGTGATTGGCTTGACTTGAAGCGGAACGAAATAGAAAATAAAAGTTTGCTCTTTTTTATTGCTAAGGTAGAAAGAATTGTGCAGGTCGGATTGTGTATGGCTGGCACGAAAGGCCGTGGAAATAGGAAGAAAGGAAAAAAAAAGGTTAGGGAAGGGGAATTTAATGCTACAGAGAAATGAGGTGCACTTGAGAAACAGAAGAATGATAAGATGGGCATGTTAATTACAGGTGATGACAAGCCGGAACGTTTTTATGACGAGAGAATTGCGATCTATCTATCTATCTATCTATCTATCTATCTATCTATCTATCTATCTATCTCAGTCTATTTCTATCTATCTATCTATCTATCTAACTATCTATCTATCCCAGTCTATTCTTATTTTAGTCTATTCCTATCTATCTATCTATCTCAGTCTATTTCTATCTATCTATCTATCTATCTATCTATCTATCTATCTATCTATCCCAGTCTATTCTTATTTTAGTCTATTCCTATCTATCTATCTATCTATCTATCTCAGTCTATTTCTATCTATCTATCTATCTATCTATCTATCTATCTATCCCAGTCTATTCTTATTTTAGT